GAAGAAAAAAAAAAAAAAAAAAAAAAAAAAAAAAAAAAAAAAAAAAAAAAAAAAAAGAGGGTTGGCCTTCATCCGAATAGAAGGAAACATGGCTGGTTAAACTAGCTGGTTAAACTATTTGGGCCAAAAAAAATATCTTCAAATAAGAATCAGTGAGCTAGGAAGAGACAATTTCCCATATATGAAGTAGGAAGGGGAAAAGGAAGGAAGGAAGGAAGGAAGGAAGGAAGGAAGGAAGGAAGGAAGGAAGGAAGGAAGGAAGGAAAAGTATTAAAAAAAATAGGGGAGCACCTGGCTGGCTCAGTCAGTAGAGCGACCAACTCTTGATCTCAGGGTTGTGAGTTCCAGCCCCACGTTGGGTGTAGAGATTACTTAAACATAAAATCTTAAATTTAATTGAATTTAATTTTTAAAAATACATATATAATTTCATATATATAACTATATATGAAGTTATATATATATATATATATATATTTTTTATTTATTTATATATATATATAACTTCAGAAGAAGAAAGAAGAAAGGGCAGGAAAAGTATCCCCAAGTAGAAAAAACTTTAGGAAGCTGAAATGAACCCCAGGCAGCAGGGCCTGCTAGAGGGCCCTTCCAACATATGTAAACTTCACCACAATGTTAGGAGGTAGATACAAACATTTCTCTTGAGGGAGGGGAAGGGGCCAGCCAAGTATCAGAAATATTTAAAATGGCTATGAGAAAATATTTCTAGTTATGGTTGTTAGACTCTGAAACGTTTCGGGCACCCTCCTACACTGTTGGTGGGAATGTAAACTGGTACAGCCCCTCTGGAAAACAGTGTGGAGGTTCCTCAGGAAACTAACAATAGAACTCCCCTCTGACCCAGCAATAGCACTGCTAGGAATTTACCCAAGGGATACAGAAATGCTGAGGCATAGGAGCACATGTACCCCAATGTTCATAGCAGCACTCTCCACAATAGCTAAAACATGGAAAGAGCCTAAGTGTCCATCAACAGATGAATGGATCAAGAAGATGTGGTTTATCTATACCATGGAATACTACATGGCAATGAGAAACAAGGAAATCTGGCCATGTGTAGCAACATGGATGGACCTTGAGGGTGTTATGCTGAGCAAATAAGTCAGGCAGAGAAGGACAAATACCATATGTTTGCATGTATAGGAGGATTAGGAGGAACTTGACGGAGGAACAAGGGGGAGAAGAAGGGGGGAAATGGTGGGGGAAAGGGAGAGAGGCAAACCATGAGAGACTCTTGAATGCTGACAAAAACTGAGGACTGATGGATGTGGGGGGGAGGGGGGATGGGCATGGAGGAGGGCACTTGTGGGGATGAGCACTGAGTGTTATGTGGAAACTAATTTGACAATAAACTATTTGTAAAAAAAATAAAAAAACAAACAAACAAACAAAAAACGTTTCCCTAAGTTCTTGATGGGCATGGTTTCCCCTTATGAGCAGAGGCTGAGGCAGAGTACTAATATCTAATAATTCTAAAATTAAAATGCAGACAAGTCCAAAATGGATATGTAATTACGTTTCTCTTCATCAAAACCAAAATAAGTTACTTTGCTTTTTTTACCCGAGAATGGCAAGAAAGTGGACATATCATCCTTGTATGATTTTTATTGCTACACTTTTTTTGTATGATTAAATGCAATAACTTATATGAAAAATAAAAATTATAATATTAATATGATAAAATAAAATCTGATTACAATAAGATAAAAATTCAGGTAAAATTAGCTGGTCTCCTCAATCCATTCTCTCTTTTGTTCCAGCAGTATGTGCTAAGAATGTTGACCAAAAGTCTTTCTCCCTGTTTTATATATTCTCTGTGAATTTTAATTTCTGCTAATCCTACTCTGTGAGGATGGATGGCTCTCTCCTGTGTTAATGGATCACTATCCTTTTTCCAAAGATATGGAGGACCAAACCTATCTAATAACCTCATTAATTAAAGCAAAAACAAAAATAGCCAGCGTTAATCTCAGTTTCGAAAGCAATGCTGTAAAGCAAGCGCATTGCACAAGTCTGTGTGAGAGTTTAACAAGGAACGTGCTCCATGAGGAAATCAAAGAAGATAAAACTGCACAGCCTACTTAAAAAGCTATTTAATAGGCTTACCCCGAATGGATCCTCCACTATAGCACTAAAGCCTTTAAGTTTAGAACAAATCAGGAGAAAATTTTGCATTTCTGTCCAGGCCACAATTTGCCTTTTCTCACCGCCTTGACATTAATGGGATTTTTTGTTTTTAAATGTGAAACCACTTTATCATCAGATTTCCAAATCTTTTAGTTACACTTTGTTAGGGCGGCCTAGATTCGAGGTTGGAAAGTGAGAGATCAAGGTCCAGCGGGCATTGTACCTTTGGAACAGAATGGACACATGAGAACTCAAAGCTCCTCGCAAGCGGAAGGGCTGAGCACGAAACTGGCACGGATGGCGCGTGTTAAGGTCTAGCTCACCTACTTAGTAGCGATCTGCCTGCCTCTGAGCCTCAGTTTCCTCAACAGTGAAACACAGGAGTTCGCTGCGAACGTTAACCAAGCTAATCTATGCACAAGGCCCTGGCATACACCGCGGTTGTCCGTGTCGGTGTTTTTCTGCTTTTAATCCAGCAGGGGAAAGTCAAAGCCTCAGAGCAGGCAGGCGGCGAAGGGCCCTCTGTGGCCGGCTGGAGGCGACCGAGCCCGTTACCTGATGGCGTTGACCGGCGGGTTTCGAAGGCGGATCAGCGCCAGCCAGTTCTGCAGCCGCGTGTACTCAGCCATGTCTCCTGGGTCGCCGAGGTGGCCTGTGCCTCTTCCCTCTGGGCAATGCCGCTTTCCCCGCCGCGGAGCCGGCCCCGCGAGGAGGGGCGCCCGCTGGGCCAATGCGAGCCGGGCGCCGCCTCCAGCCGCCGTCCTCTCACCCACTTCTCCTCCTCCCGGGACCCCAGCCCCCTCTCTGCAGACGCTTGTAGTCTTTTTTCGACTTGGTTCCCGTCACAACGTAGATCAAAGAGGACTGTGGAAAATGGGTGCAACAGCCAGCAAGTCGGGGTTTACAACACTCTGGCCCCAAAGACGCTGCCTTCTCTGGATAACTTCTGGGTTCACTAAGTTGGTAGAGCTGCCCTCATCAGTTTTCATCTTCATGATCCTTCTTAACAGGAATAGATACCTGGGGTCTTGATAATTAGGTGACATGACACAACCACTTGGAACATAAAATACACGCACCGTGCATTTCACCTGAATCTGTATGGTAACCAACCGCTTATATAACCGTTAATTTTCCCTGTCTTGCTATAACGGGGCAACTTAGTGAAATGCATGGGTATCTTGTCTGACCAACCAAACTTTTTTCTTTTTTAAAACATTTCCTCCAGCTTTATTGAGATATAATTGACATACTTCACTATGTAAGTTAAAGGCATACAGCCTCATGATTTGACTCACATAGATCATAAATGACTGCCATAATATAGTTAACATCCCTCATCTCATATAGATACAAAAATTGACAAAAGGAAAAAAAACCTCTTTTCTTTTTCTGTCATTTCTAAGGATCATGATTTCTACTACTTCATTCATTGTGAATTGAGCACCTGTTACATGCTAGGCATAAGTAGGAGATTAAAGATAAAAGGCCCAGCTCCTGGGGCGCCTGGGTGGTTTAGTCGGTTGAGCGTCCGGCTTTCGCTTGGGTCATGATCTCGTGGTTCGTGGGTTCGAGCCCCGCGTCGGGCTCTGTGCTGACTGCCGTCTCAGAGCCTGGAGCCTGTTTCAGTCTGTGACTCCCTCTCTCTCTGACCCTCCCCTGCTCACTCTCTCTCTCTCTCTCTCCTAGAAATAAATAAAACATTAAAAATTAAAAAAAAAAAAAGGCCCAGCTCCTTCCCTCCAAAAGTTCACCACTAACACAAGGTTTTTCTAGATTCCATTGGCCTCTGGTGGTCTCCACAGTTCATCAAGTAGTCGGAAAGCAGTTTGGAAGTTTCAGAGGAAAAGAACACAATGGAATAACTTCGTTCACTGGGACAATTTTCATATTCTTTTGCCTCTTGGAAATAAAAACAGGTTCCAGCACCTAGGAAAGTAGGATTGCCTTGAAGCCCTGGGAACAGGTAGCAGTCTGAAGGTATCCACCCATCAAGGACAACCTACCAAGGACAGCCTTCCTAATAGCCAGCCAATCACAAACAAGCCAGTACAAATGCCTCTGTCAGCGCTCACAACAACCAGCTTCTACAGGTGGTATCAATCTCCTTATCTCTGAAAATTTGCCAGTCCCTGAACTCCACGTTGCGCAAACACTTGTTGTAAGATCAACAGTCTGCTCTGCTTGGAGAAACTGTGCATAAGGAACACAGCGTTCCCTTATTATAAGAAGCAATAAATTCAGCTTTGTCTTCTTAGTTCAAATATTGATCTCAGGGGGAACAACTACACAGAAGCAACCTAGCAACTTAGAACATCTCCACAAAGGCCATTGTAGGCAAAACTTAACAGTCCTGAATGGCCTGAAATTCTTCCTGGATCAAGGGGAGAGGGGCATGGTGCAGAGCGGTTTTGAAGCAGGTTCTCATCTCTATCTTGGAGGTGTTACCTATAGGTCATTTCTCATCTATTTCCCTGGCTTTGGTTGAATGCAAAACTTTTTGCCTGTGCTCCCTAGCCCCCTTGCAAAGTTCTTTTTATATCTACCGAACTACCTGAGTGTAGTTTAGAGTCGGCTTCTCAGCAGGGCAGGGACCAATGGAAGACAGCAACACATCCAGCGGGCAAAAAATTTAAGAGGGTACTCACTCTCAGTGTCCTACAAGTGCCTACTTTGTCCCGCTCCTCCACAGCAGTTCCTGGGGTCTGTTGTCTAGCCCCTCCTGTTCAGTGTCATCCTGTGGAATTAGGGATGCAGGGAGCTGATACCATGCTGGTCTTTCTTTTGCTATCTGTGTAAATAATAAACTGCCTAAATCTATGTGGTCTCCTTACAGACCAAATCTATGGGAATGTGGCAAGCCAGCAAGTGCCACCATGCTGCTGCTGACAGACTGTGTGACCATTTGACAGTCTCTTGATCATTGTGATGAATTGCTATATTCTGAAGTTGCCTTCTCATTTAATTTGTCTCACTAAGTGCCACTTAACAGCATGTCATTCCTCTTGGCTAAGGCACTTCCTTCATTTGCACGTGTTTTGGTTATTAATTATGTCATTTGCATTGATGTGTTGCAACTTATAAAATACATTAATCAGAAGAGGTTTTGTGTGTGTGTGTGTGTGTGTGTGTTTAAGTAAATTCTATGCCCAATGTGGGGCTTGAACTCATAAGCCTGAGATCAAGTGTTGCGTGCTCTACCAGTTGAGCCAAAGAGGTTTTTAAGAAAACAAAAGAATGTAAATATAGAATTTTGTGTGCTAGATCATGCATATATGTACTCACAGTAAGAACAGAGATGACTATGTAAACTTGTTGTGCTGCAAAACTTTATTCAATAGTGGCATGAAGCCATCAGAGCAGACTTCTCTGGTAAGCTAATCAGATTTTTCTGCAACAACAGAAAAATATTGCTTTCCAGCTGGAGTGATACAATCTCTCACGTGTTCTCTTCTGCGTCTTTTCCCCTTTCACTGTGGGATATAAGTGGGCACTAGGCCTCAGAGAAGGATAGAGCAACAGATAGAAGAAGCCTCACTTTCCAAAAGATTTTGTAGAGGAGAGCTGTCTGCTGACTAGAACCAGCAATGTGGGTCCATTTGTTAAATAATTTTAACCTGTCCTAATACAGAGAAGAAATGGGCAGTGAGTGTACTCTTCCACAGTGAAGAGTTGGCTGACAGTTGAGGAGAAAAGCTGTTCACAAAATTACTTGAAATAAGAGATGGGACATAATTTCTTCACTGTACCAATAATATTAGGAATGACAATTTGTATAATTTCAAGTGGCTTGCTCAAGTTTTGAGCCTTAGAGATAACACGCGTGCACGTACACACAAACACACACACGCGCGCGCACACACACACACACACACACAGTATTAGGCTCTTCATGATGAAGATAAGCTATCAGGATTCCTTTTTTTAAAAAAATTTTTTAATGTTTTATTTATTTCTGAGAGAGAGATAGCATGAGCAGGGGAGAGTTCAGAGAGAGAGGGAGACACAGAATCTGAAACAGGCTCCAGGCTCTGAACTAGCTGTCAGCACAGAGCCCGACATGGGGCTCAAACCCACAAACCGTGAGATCATGACCTGAGCTGAAGTCGGACACTTAACTGACTGAACCACCCAGGTGCCCCACTATCAGGATTCCTAAAGAAATCCTAACTGTGGCAAAAGAATGACTCAGTCATGCCAGTTATCTTGACTGGTTGAAATGCCAGAGATCAGTAATGTATTATTGTACAGATTTAATAAAGTTCTTGCTCATACACTGCAACCAAATCTGAACTGAATGTAGCCACAAACTGAAGTAAGAATCTACTCACTGCTGTCTCCCATATTTCAACTTCTTAGCTTTTTGGTGAGCACTGCTTATCACCTGGCATCAATCAGATCACATTCATGTTTCCTGAAGTCATGTTTACTCCCTTTTAAATTGAGATAGAACTCACACTATGCAATTTATCCTTTTAAAGTGTACAATTCAGCTATTTTTAGTATATTCACAAGGTGTACACCATCACCACTCTCAAATTCCAGGACATTTTAATCACCCCCAAATGAACCCTATACCCTTTAAGGAGATTTGCCTAGTTCACATATTTGATGTAAATGGAATCACACAATATATGGCTTCTGTGTCTGGTTTCTTTCATTATAGCATAAATGTTTTTGTTTAAGGTAAGGGCTGGTTCCAAGCTTCTCTCCTAGCTTCTGGTAGTTCCCTGGCTTTGTGGTAACAGAACTGCAACCTTCACATGGTGTTCTCTCTGTGTGGGTGTATCTCTAAGTCCAAATTTCCTCTTTTTATAAGGACACTAAGTGACCCCATCTTAACTGGATCATCCACAAAGACCCTATTTCCAAATCAGGTCACATTCACAGGTCTTACTAGTTAGGACATCATCTTTTTTTAATTTTAAGTTTATTTATTTTGAGAGAGAGCAAACACAAGAGGGTGTAAGTGGGGGAGGAGTAGGGAGAGAAGCCCAAGCAAGCCCCACGCTGGCAGCACAGAGCCGGACATGGGTATCATACCCAAAAACCACGAGATCATGACCACGCCAAAATCAAGAGTCTGACACCCACCCCATGGACTTTACAGCTTTTTGAGGAACACAATTCAACCATAACAACCCCATGCAGTCACTGCAGTAGATGCCCTTTTATGGGGCAGAGCAACAAAAGTCAGTCTGAGCACCACAGGCAACCAGGCGATCTTGGTATTTGAAGCCAAAGAAATGGCAATGACTTCCACTCTTCTGAATCATAATTCATAGTTTAGGTTAGGTTACATTTGATTTTTTTTCCCCAAAAAAGTAAGCAAAACTGTCCAGAATGGAGAAATGCTAATGCTTTAAAAAAAAAAACTACACAAGGGGAGCCTGGGTGGCTTAGTTGGTTAAGCGTCCGACTTTTGCTTAGGTCATGATCTCGCGGTTTGTGAGTTCGAGCCCCGCGTCGGGCTCTGTGCTGACTGCCAGCTCAGAGCCTGTAGCCTGTTTCAGAGTCTGTGTCTCCGTCTCTCTCTGACCCTCCCCTGCTCACGCTGTCTCTCTCTCTCTCTCTCTCCTAGAAATAAATAAAAATATTAAAAAAAAAAAACACCACACAAGCCAGTTTT